TAAAACCTCATGGCACACAACTTGTCTCGGCTTGGCCAGGCCCTCCTCCTGGCGGCTGCCTTGCCTTTGGCGTACGCTCAGACCATCGTAGTTGACGATGTAGTGATTGGTATGTTGATCTTGCTTTTGACTTTGTGATCCCAAACCCCTGAGGGTGCACCTACTCATGCTTTTTGACTGGCATCATGTCTAACCTGCTGCTTGCATAGAGGCCAACCAGTCTACCGTGGCTCCCGCGGCTGAGCCCGTCCTCGATACCGCCGCCAGCGACCTCTTGAAAGAGGAGAGCATTCAGCTGACTGATGCCGTTTTGGCTAACCTCACGGACCTCTCCCTCTCCAACATCTCCCTCTTTGACTTTGACACCACTGCCGCTGGGGAGAAGCGGTCTGGAATTGCCCGTACCTTCAACAAGTGCAAGACATATCCCGGGGACCTCCTTTGGCCGAACAAGGCAGTGTGGAGCGTCTTTAACCTCCTCACTGGATTTGCTGTCAGCGAGACGGTGCCTATTGGTGCTTCTTGCTTTGATGACTTTGGCAACTATGATGCTACTCGTTGCGAGTACATCACCAACCAGTGGACAAACTCCACGATCCAGTACGTTGCTCGGAACCGCCTTGCTTTGTAATCAGGCTAAAGAAACATCCAGCACCGAGGACCCGACTTCAGTCATGAGCCCTTTGTACCAGGGCCTGACTTGTATGCCACCTTCAGTCGACAACAGCTCTGCCGGCACCTGCACCCTCGGCGGTTTCCCCTCGTATGTTGTCAAGGCCACGAATGTTGCGCAGATCCAGCTGGCTGTCAACTTTGCCCGCAACCTCAACATTCGCCTCGTTGTCAAAAATACTGGCCATGATTTCAATGGTCGTTCCTCGGGATCGGGTGCCCTCTCCGTCTGGACGCACCATCTGAAGAGCATTAACTTCTATCAAGCCTATACCTCCCCGTCTTATTCCGGTCCCGCTATCAAGGTGGGTGCCGGTGTTCAGGGCTTCGAGCTCTATGAAGCGGCCGAGACGTATGGTGTTACTGCCGTCGGAGGCGAGGGTATGACTGTTGGCTATGCTGGAGGCTACCTTGCTGGCGGTGGTCACTCGCCACTGTCCCCCAAGTACGGCATTGCTGCCGACTCTGTAAGGATACCTCTGCATGTACTTCATAGGGGATACCGACGTACTGATATCGTTGCTGTTCAGGTCTTGAGCGTTGATGTCGTGACTCCCGACGGCCGTTTCGTTACTGCCAACGAGAAGCAGAACACCGAGCTGTTCTGGGCTCTACGAGGCGGTGGTGGAAGTGAGTAAAGAAATCTGAATGGGCGGGAACCCAGCTGACCATACATCAGACACTTACGGTGTTGTCACCTCGTACGTCGTCAAGGTTTACCCCAAGATTGACACAATCGCCGTCATGACGTTTAGCTTCAGCACTAGCGAAACCGTCAGCCACGACGCCTTCTGGGCTGGTGTCAAGGCGTACTGGGAGGGCTTGCCAACTTGGAACGCGGCTGGCAACTACGAGTACTGGAATATTTTCCACACCGGACCGGATGCCCTCACCTTCACCATGCTTCCCTGGTTCGCTCCCAACATGACCCTCGTCCAGCTCAAGGAGCTTACCGCCCCCTTGTTCGCCAAGTGGACAGAGCTGGGCATCGCCGTCGACCCCGTCTACTCGGAGCACCAGAGCTTCCTCCCCGCCTGGAAGGCCGGCTTCCCCAAGGAGCTCGTCGGCGGCACGACCTCAAAGACAGCGTGCCGCCTCTTCCCCGCGGAAAACTTCTCTGACGCCACCAAGTTCAACGCCACCTTTGAAGCCCTCAAGGGGCTCAGCGACAAGGGCGGCCAAATCATCGGGTTCGGCATCACCGGCGGCCCCGGTCCCTACCCCGACAACGCTGTCAACCCGGCGTGGCGCGGCGCTGCCATGTTTGCCATTTCTGTCATGGGCTGGGACGTCGGCACCCCCGCCGAGGTGGTCGCCGAGAAGTCAAAGCTCTTGACCAACGAGTGGATGCAGCCCTGGCGCGACGTCACGCCCGGCAGCGGTGGGTATGCCAGCGAAGGGGACGTAACCGAGCCCGACTTCCAGCAGTCTTTCTATGGCACCGAGAAGTATGCTCGCCTGCTTGCATTCAAGCAAAAGATTGATCCCACCGGGGTCTTTTACGCGAATTTGGGTGTCGGCAGCGACAGTTGGTATGTCACGCGCCAGCTTGATGGGTTCCCAACCCAGAATGGCCGTCTGTGCAGAGTTTAGGAAAGTGTCGAAAGACAGTCAGACAAAGACAGACGTAGTATAGATTTTCAATGATGTTCAAACATTTAAAGATGAATCTGAAGACGAACTTCGCACACATGTGTATTGATTCATCCGTTCCTGGGATCCATTTTCAAGCCTCTCCGAAGGCGTTGTGTACATATTTGAATGCCCTAGGTTGTGAATTTCTCGTTGAAAGTTTTCAAAGCACCTTTCAAAATGAGAATAAGACATATAATTTGCGTCCAGATGAATTTCTATTGACTCTCTGAGCCACTTCACTACGACTGATAGTGTTGATACTGACGTACAACGCCATGGAGGCATTTCGGAGGCCTCATTGCGGTCAACTTCTCGACAAAGTTATTGTAAGTCAGTATTCTAAACATATTCCAACTTTTCATGTCATCTTCTATTCTCCAGTCCTTTTTAGGCATCACTGTTAACGCCAGTAGTGAGCACCGCCTTTAGGAAGTAAGTCTGCTTTTGCGTGTTCTTGAGCGCATCCAGTTTCGGACCAAGCACACTGAGGGCTATGCTTCCCTCGAAACCTACCTCCATTCCCATCGTTTGGTCCTGGACTTAGCACCAGTATCGCAGTGAGCTTGATATTGAAGCAATTGGGATCTATTATTCCTCCAATTTTGGCGAGGCGTGGACACTAACAGAGCTGTTGAAGAGATCGTGACGAGTGAGCAAGCCACGTCACATCATCTAGCCAGATGGTGGCCATTCTGCCGATCAGACGAAGCTGGCACCACCATAGATGCGGTCTCTGAGACAATCCTAGTAATTGCGACTAGCATCCAAGAGTGCGGTGAGAGCATGAGGGTCGTTGCAAATGGGCATGCAAACCAGGCTTTCAACAATCGTTTCCAACCACATCTCCTCCCGAAATCCACTTATCGACCGATATTTGTTCGTGCGGACCATCGACCCAAGCTTGCCTTCCCGCTGTTGATACCATTCCAGATATTTCCAGCTCGTTGACTTGGTGATGAAAAGCGTACGAAGCTCTGCAGGTTCTCTTTTTGTCGTAGACCCAGCCTCCTGCATCACCGGTGCTATATCACAGAGCACAACCGTTTTTCATATCGGGTCTCACATACGAAATCTGTGGTGTTGGCCATCTCAGTGGATACCAGCAAGTAGCATGGATTTGTCCATGTCCATCTGCAGTGCTCATCATGTATCGCCGTGATACTCCACCACTACGCGCATCGCGACCCAACTCAATATCCTCATGCCCGTCTACTTCCCCGGCCGATACACCACCTTGTCCCTAAGTAACCTCGGCGTATCCGGATCGTGACTCGGCAGCACAACGACGTCATTGTGCCTAGCATACTCCTTGATCTTCTTCAAACTCTCAAAAGCCGCCACGGGATCACTGTTTGCACCATCCGGTTCCTCCTTCTCCAGCACGCTGATCGCGTACGTCGCATCCCCCGTCAGCAGATACCTCGTCGTCGTCCCGTCCTCTTTCTCGCCCAGCACAATCAGCGAAATGTGTCCCGGCACGTGGCCCGGCGTATCGACCGCGACAATCGCGCCCCCCGCCGCGAGCTCGCACGACCGGCCCCACGGCCCCACAGCGCGCTTCTCCTCGAAATCGAGGATCCGCGGCTCGAAATTCTTGGGCCACCGGTCCGGCGTGCACCCTTGCATGGCGGCGTAGACGGGGTGCTTCCCAAAGGCGTCCCAGTGTGCCGCGCCGACGTAGATGGGCACGTCGGGCGCCTCGACGGCGAGCACCTCCAGCCCGCCCGCGTGGTCGTGGTGGAGGTGGCTGATGATGATGAACTGGAGGTCCGTTGGCTCGATGCCGCGTTTGCGGAGCTGCTCGACGATGCCGTCCTCCTTTGTGACCTGCAGCTTGTTGAGGTAGCCCGGCACCGGGTTCCAGCAGGGGAAGTAGCCCGGCTCGGTGCAGTGCGTCGACACGCCCGTGTCGAAGAGGATGGGTCCCTTGGGGTGGCGGATCAAGAAGGCTCCGAGGGGCATGGGACCGATCCAGTCGCCGGTGAAGGAGCGGAGGAGACGGAGGGCGATGTTGCGGTTCGTGATGGGCTGGCCTTGCATTTGGGTGTGCATCCAGACGTTGCCGGTGGTGATGAATTCTAGCGAGATCTTGTCGTCGGGTGCCATGATGGCGATTTGGTGAGACAAAATTTCTGTGCCTATCTCTCTCTCTTCGTTGATACCACGGTGGGTGGATGATGCAGTCCTTCTCTCGAATATGTCTGAATTTTGTTGATTTCTTCAGAACATGAACGCGGGTACTGGTGGAAGAGAAAATGATTCAGGCTGACCCAAAGTCTCCCTGGCCATGCGGGATCCTTAAGAGATTCTCCATTCGCCCCGTCGTCTGCAGGCACCCGCGTTTTCTCGGTTCTTCACATGAATTCCTTGGCCGTATTCTGGCCAATTATGAGCATTCCGATAAGCCGTCAGCTCCGCCAGCCGCACTCCGCCCCCAGTCCCAAGTCGTCAGCATCCCTGGCAACCGCGGGGCCCCTTGCTGATGGAGGCGCATTCCAGTCAGCCTCGAAATCCAACTGTCCGCGTTGCTCAAGTCAAACAGGTGAGTAGTGTATCTGCGGGGTCTGAGACAAGGTGAGGGATTGGGAGATTTTTTGCTCCACCGCAAACATGGACGCGAGGTCGTCCCAGGGTCGCGGCACACTTGTAGTTGGCATCTTCGAGTTAATTGCCGGGTGGACTGGTCGAACTGTGATAGCAATGTCAAGGAATCATTCGAGGAGAGAGGCGGAAAGAAGATCACGGAGACAGCAACGAAGGCTTTGAGGGGGGCGAGAAGAAGTGATATATGCATTGCCATGTATACGCTCAGGTCGGAGAAGTCACAGCGACTCCGAACAAGCCCTGGGAACCTAAAGCATGTGCATGAGTCCATGTCTTCTTATATACTTTGGATGAAAAGAATGTACATATTTATATCCCCAAAGAAGAAAAAAAAAAGAAAAAAGAGGAAGACATGAGCGATTTATCGCAGAAGAGGGCTGATGCTAGAGTCAAAGTTAATGCACGGGCCGAGCACGGTCGACGTCAGGGACGCCGTCGAGTTCTTGGTGAGCGAGGCGAGGGGACTGGTGCCGCAGCGGAGGCCGAGGACGAAGGCCTTGTGGACTACGTCGGCGAGGAAGGGCGACGTGTGCGTGTGGTCGTTGGGGTAGTTCGCGTTGATGGTCTTTGCGCCGAGATTCTTCATGGCCTGGGCGGCGTACGCGCCGTGCGGGACAAAGTAGTAGCCCTGGGAGGGGCCGCCGAGCTGCTGAACGGCAAGCCTGTTGTGGTGTTAATTGCGTTGGTTCGACATCACCGGATTTGGTATAGAAGGGATAAACACAAAGGTTGAGGGAAAGGGTGCTTACCATGCGTAGTTAAAGAAGCGGTCGTATCCGTACTGGAAGGTGCCGCTCTCCCAGGGGTTGTCGGAGGTCGCGGCGGCGATGATGACCTGTGAGTTGGGTGTAAGTGAGGTGCATTTTTTAAGATCCAAAGTCGTTCATCCTACCTTGGCGCCAGCGGCGTTGAATTTCTTGGCGGCGTTCTTGAGGTAAGCAGGGTATGTGAGAACCGTCTCGGCAACACCCCTTCGCGACGGTCAGCAATCTTGTCTTTCGTAAACTCCCATCGCAGCCATGGGAGCCACTCAGCAGGGAAACGCACTTGTAGGTCGTCGAGCATGTCTGATCCCCATCACCGAAGCAGTCTGTCCTGCCATCATCTGTAGGTTTAAGGTTCCCGCCGTCATTGTGCCCAAATTCAATCACAACCCAGTCGCCGCTTTTCACGAGGCCAGCGACAGTGTCAAAGTGGCCCTCGCGGGTGTACGAGCGGGCACTGCGGCCGCCGAGGGCGCGGTTGTCGACCTTGGCCTTGCTCTCCGGGAAGGAGTACTGCAGGAACTCGCCCCAGCCCTGGGTTCCGGGCCCGCCGCCTCCCTTGGCCGTGGTGCTGTCGCCGCAGAGGAAGATCGTGGTGCCTGACTGGCGCTTCGAGACGGCCTCGGCGTCGGTGGGGATGGCGGAGACCAGGCCAAGGACGCCGGCGGCGAGAGCAAGGTGCGCGCGCATAGCTGTTTTATCGATTGCGTAAAAGAAGGACTGTGGGTGAGAATAAAGAATGACAAGGTCGCGGACCGAGCGAATGAATGGAACGTGTCTTGAGAAGATGGGACGAAGAGGAACTTCAGAGGCCAAAGGACGTCACCCTTATAGGACGGCGGCTCTTGACTGACTCTCGACAAGCTTTCCGTCGGAACCGAGATTTGTGGGAAATCCCATCTTCCAGCAATATCAACTAGTGCAACTTTATTCGGGTACGAGTGCCTTGTTGTCGAAGAAGTTGACACCAAATTGGAAATCAATCGAGTTACAAGTACGAACCTTGTCCCGGCCATTCGCTTCCAACGAACGCCTCCTCAATATCGCCAACATCAAAGAACGCCTGTTACACGACGAGTGTGTTTCCACTCGTCCGGTTAATCGGGTTCCCTCTCGGTCCACTTGTGGCAGATGCGGGCGAAACCGATCGCGGGAAAGCGGCGAGTGGGTGACCACGGGGGGCCGGCCTCGTTGCGTCCCATATAAAGTAGACTCTCGCGTTTGCGGGCGGCTGCAAGGCAAGGGAAAAACAAGCCATCATACGAGCCGCCGGGCTCGCAGCCGCACTTGAGGTCACATTGGGGCTGCCTTCTTTCAGGAGACAGCCCCCACGCGGAGGACATGGTGTTGCTGCGTTCCGAAAGAGCCTAACATGGGACAAAACCAGTTCATCTGGTCGTCAAATCGCGCTCGTCAAACAATTGCTAAGCAGGACTAGGACAGCTAACGGATACAGTCATCCGTCACCCCTCTTCACATCTTCAGGCCAGAGTCCAGACGATTGCGCAATATAATCAATCCGATGCAGTGGTTGCTGTGCGGTTTCAGAGACAGAAAGGGGCGCGGGGGGGGGACTCCTGGCTTTGTGTTTCACGACGGCCGTCATTGAGCAAGGAACATCTCCGCCAATCACGGGTTCTCCTCATTGGGTGGTGCCGTCATAAATATCGTGGAATCTACCACGTGGACGGAGGGCGGAGTATGTGCTTCTAAGCTGGGGTATCCCTTGCAGTGCCTCGCCCCTTTTGGCGGGCAAATATGACCTGAGTCGACGTGGTCGGGTGATGTGAATGAGTTGGCCCAAGTTGACATTGTCCTCATTCGGCTCTAAATACCGCATGTGAAAAGATGGTTCAGGCGCCTGGGAAGGAGAAAAACAAGTCTTGCACCGCGCTGAGCTGCACAACTTCTCCCCCTCTCGAACAGGTCAGCCGATGGGAGCGCTTTTACGGATAAATACGTGATGCGGGCGAGGGGCTAGGACTTCGGAGCCATTCGCGCCGTGCTTGTTCCCGCTGATCTATTCATGGATGTAAGTCTCATGCCTGCTATGTTGCGCAGATAGAACGGGGCATTTAAAATGGGCTCTACACTTCACCTACTGGGTTACATTGAACCTTCTACTAGTGTAAGTTGAGAAGGGGTTTATTGCGAATTGCTAATTTGTTGTGCCCAATGCAATGGTAAGTTGCCCTCAACGGGTCCAGACGGGATGCCGACACTCTGTTGGGCGGGCGCCGCACTCAGGGAAAAGCTAAATTTGTTAAACTCATTTAGGGAACGGCTAACCGGATTCTTTGCATGTAGTTCTCAGATGAACATGGCCGTCTCATCCAGGGTTGCGCTCTGCTCATTGGTGCAGTTTGGTCCCAAGGCACCGTCTCAAACTCACTCTAAGCTTTTTGGGGGCAGGGATTGTCCCAGAGGTCGACAAAGCTTAAACGAAAGAACGAGGCGTAGCATCCAGCTAGCGGAAAGCTTGCGGTGGGAGAGAGAGTCAGTCGACGTTGTTCAAGAATTGGAAGGGGAAAGCAGCATAGCGAGGGCCTGGCAATGATGCTCGGTTCATGTCTATGGTGTCACCTGTGCTCTCATCTTTCCCAGAAAGCAGACGAGGTCGATAGTCTGACCTGGATGCTTGTAGTGACGCCTGGACGGAGTTCGCGTCCGAAAATTCTGTGCTAGAAAGGTTGAAACCGTGGTGGGGAGCTTAAAAGAAGATTGCAGGGTGAGCAGCGATACGCTACGGGAATGGGAACCCCCCTCGGTGAGTCGGTGACTTGGTGACCAGGTCACTCGGCGACTCGGTGCGGAGCCGATGGCCGGAACGGCAAGTGGGACCAGCCCGAAGACCAGACCGAAAGCGGGCCGCTGCCACGGGCGAATAGGTCAAACTCCGGGACTCGAATACCTGTGTACCTCCCTCAGCAACACAATTCACGGCCCAGTAATCCAATTTACAGGGATGATTCAATTCGAACTTGGGCTCTCGAGAAACCAGACCCATGTTTCGGTGCTAAGTGATCGACCAAACCATGAGAGCATTCCGATAGATGCGCCTAGATCTTTGGTAAAGGCGAGTGACAGACAAATTCGTCCAATCATTCTGAAGGTCTATAGTTATCCGACGATTTTTGGATGCTTTTCCTGCATCCGCCCGTGACGAAACGCGCAACATTTAGCGATGGTTCTAGAGACATTCAGGCAGTACACAGCATCACCTTTCAACTTGATATTCGACAGTCCAAGTCCAGAGAACCTGTGAAGTGAAGTCTGAACTTCTCGGCACTACAGGTTTCAACGGCGACATTACTGAGTTCTTGGAAGACGAGACCGGAAACACAGTGTTACATCGTTGCGCGGTCCTGGAGATTTAAGCTTACGACGTCGACTTCTCCAAAGACAGAGCCGAGCGGGGAGGGAACATTAAACTCGGCGCGCCCATGGTGAAGAATCGGATCCGACGTCCTAGCTCGTACTAGTCGGCCTCGGGCCACCTTGAAACCTGCGGGGGAAACTAAGCAAACCAACCAAGGTTTCGACGTCATCACATCTTTAACAAGGACGCGGCTCAGGATCTCAAGAGCTTCAAAGCACAACTCAACCCATCGGCCAAAAACGCCCATATCTACAGGTCTATACACCTTTGTAGAGCATCCAAACTACCCAAGGATCAAACATCCCCAGTGCCGTCAACCAAACCGCAAAGATGGCGACCACCAACATACCAAAGACAATGAAGGCAATCCGCGTAACATCCTTCAACGCCCCCTACGAAATACAAACCGTCCCCGTGCCGTCACCAGCCTCCCTCGCCCCCCACGACCTCCTCGTCAAAGTAGCAGTCGCATCCTACTGCCACACCGACAGCATGGTCTCCTCAGGCGTCTTCAACACAACGCTCCCCTGCACCGCCTCCCACGAAGGCTCCGGCACCGTCGTGGCCGTCGGCTCGGCCTCCGCCGCCAACGGAACCTTTACCCCAGGCGACAGAGTCATGTGCGGTCTACCCCTCCACCCGTGCGGCGACTGCTTCGACTGCACCCGCGCCCCGGAAACCTTTCGGCAGTACTGCAGCCGCATCGAGGGCCACGTCGGCGTGCACGTGGACGGGTGCTTCGCCGAGTACGTCCGCGTTGACGCCCGGTCCACCGTGCCGATCCCCGACACACTCTCGTTTCTCAGTGCCGCGCCGCTGGCGTGCGCGGGCCGGACGGTGTGGCGGGGCGTGGCGGTGCAGGCCGGGCTGCGGGAGGGCCAGTGGCTTGCCGTCGTCGGGTCCGGGGGCGGGCTGGGCCACTTGGGGATCCAGATGGCCAAGGCGCTGGGGTTGCGTGTCGTGGGGGTCGATGCGCGTGACGAGGGGCTCGCGCTGACGAGGGCGAGCGGCGCGGATGTCGTGCTTGATGCGCGACGGGGCAAGGAGGCGGTCGTGGGGGAGGCGAGGCGGGTTGCGAATGGCGGGGATGGTGTGGATGCCACGCTCAACTTGTCGGATGCGGAGGGTGCGGCGGGACTGGCGTGCGCGGTGACGAGGATGCATGGGACGGTGACCCAGATTGCGCAGCCGGATGAGGTGAAGATACCGTTCCAGGAGTTGGTGTTTCGCGATATCAGAGTACAGGGGAGTTTGCTGTGTTCGAGGGAGGAGAGTGAGGGTCTGATGGCGCACGTTGCGAAGAATGGCATAACGCTCAAGACGAATGTTTTTCACGGGTTGGATAAGATTCATGAGCTTGTTTCGCTTGTACATACGGGTAAGATGAGCGGCAAGGCTGTTATTGTTGTGGACGAGCAGCAGTTGGAGGCCGAGAAGAAGCTCGGTGCCAAGTTCTAACAGGTGAGGTTTGATAATTCAATACTCAAGACTCAAGACTCAAGACTGAGGACCTCTTTCTCTGATAATGCTGATGAAGATTATGCTGACATGCAACAGAATGCTTGGGTAGCCTCATGACTTTGTACGGTTAACCGAAGTCACATCCCTACGCTCCTTATCCCACGGACTCCCTCCACGGTTCGTCGGCGTATCAGGCGAATGGCTCGCAATCTTGGTATCAACAGGCGACTGCCGCAGCTTTTCGCGATCCTTGCTCCCACTAGTAAAGAACCCTTGCAGCTTCGACCCGATTCCCTCTCCCGAGCCGCTGCTACTGCCGCCGGTGCTAGGCCCATTACTCTTGCCGCTCAACGCCCCCGTCAACGTATTCGACCCAGGGCTCATGGAGGGGCCATGCGTCTCAATCGCCCTGGTATTCGAGTTGGCGCGACCGGGCCCGCCGCCAATCTCTCCGGCGTCGGAGGGGAACTTCTCCTTGGGGCCCTTGGGCGTGTCGCGGTCGGCGCTGCTGCCGCCGCGGTTGCCGGTGCTCAGCTCAGCGCCGCCCGTGGCGCCCGTGTTGGTGCCGATGCCTGCGCCGCCGAGGCCGTTGTCTCGCTTGGCGTCCGCGGCCTTTTTTCTCTGGTCGGCGACCTCGTCGGATGAGGGACGGGACTTGTCGGCGTTTGCGATTTGTTGGGAGGCGTCGCCTGAGGTAGTCGAGGGCTTGCGGACGTAGTAGATGCCGCCTCCGAGGAGGGCTGCTGCTCCCACAAGGGGGACTGCGTAGTTTTGACGGGACATTGTCGAGTGCTGTGCGCTGTGCAAAGTTCCTTCGATGGGAAGGGTTGTTTGACTTTAGGAAATAAAGAATGAGGAACGATGTTTTCACGGTTACTCGTTAATATTGTAATAGATGGGTTGATACCAAAGGACTGTGGTATTTGCAAAATTGCTGGCCCAAGAGCTCAGCTTTGTTTCAATCGGCCACCTGTGACGAGCCCATGGCATCATCCTTCAGATGAGCTAACTGCTCTCTCCTGCGCAATGTGCTGGACGTGCTAGACAGTGTCTCGTGCGAGGCGCAAATCGATGACAGCTTCTCGTGCGGGCAATGACATCAGCATTGTGGTGCGAACGGTCCGCGCTTGCGGAACCGCCAGAATTCCAGAGCGATCGGCAGGGACCAACATGAATGATGAGGCCATGATTCGCCAATGGGGGCTAGTCACCGCCCAATTCTCCAGAGAATGGCGAGCTAGTGAGACTTCTCATCTGTGAGCTGGAGACGAGGCTTGGGGCGGAACGGGACTGGCGTGGGTGCGTGGCTGTTGTGCAACAGTGAGAGAAGGGAACGCCCATTGAGATCGGATCGGATCTGGCTGACGCAGTGCAGCGGCCCCGAGCGGTACATGGCCGGCCTCGAGTGGATATTTTGCGGGATGTGGCTCCACACGGCAGCTCCGAGTCATTTGCCGGAGTGCCGGAGCAGCACGGCATCGGACCGGATCCAATATTTCTCATTGAATCGGAGCACATTGCTTCCTCTCCCCAAAGCAGTACACCTACGGTATCCTCAGCTCACGCCCCCCGCTTCAAGCCCACTCCCTGCTCCTCCATCCAACTCCTCTTGCGCGCCAAGACCTTTCTCAACACCATACATCCCGCGCCCGCAACCGACGCACCCAAACACAAAGCCTGCACCACCACAAACCCCGTCCCAAACCTCGCATTCACGTCCCCCAACCCCCTCGGCCGACTCACATACGCCTTGAGCAGCATCCCATTCATACCTTGCGTAAACGCCGGCAAAAACGCCGTGCACGGCAGCATCCACCAGCACCAAGCCCGATACCGATCCCAAAACGCCAACGGCAACGCCTCAATCTCGGCGCGGGTCCCGCGCGGACACGGGCACACGCGCTTGAGGCACGAAAAGTAGCACTGGCACCGCAGCCAGCTGGGCCGAACGGCAATGAGCAGCTCCGTGACCAAGAGGTAGGCGACCACGACGAGGGCGTAGAGGATGGCAAAGTTCGCCGTCCCCGTGGGGAGGACGAGCCATTCGTGGCGAAAGGCGCTCAGGAAGGGGTTGCCGGTGCACGGGTCCTGGGCGGAGTGGTAGCAGGCCCATTCGGATTCGGGGAGGGCGAGGGCTCGGCTGACGGCGCCCAGGTCGTAGGGGAGATGGGGGGATGATCCGATTATGCCCGCTTTTGACTTGGATGGGTATTCGTAGGCGAAGGAGGCGGCGAATTGGTGCATTGTGACGAGGTAAGTGTCTGGGTTGGTTGGGGATGGAATGATGCCGTTGAACTGTGGTTTTTGTTGCTCAGCTTCTGTTTGCAAGATTTTCTTCACGGTCTGGGGCAAGGCTTCCTACTAACCTGCACGATGGAGAGGCTCGATAGCCCGAGACGTTGAGCGCCGTCGCTGTCGCGAATGACCCATGTGCCACCGGCGAGGATGAGGATCTGGACGAGGGCGACAAAGAGCGCGAAGAAGAAGGCCAAAGCATGTAGGGCTGGGCGCATGAACTGCCGCGGACCGGGCGCGAAGGGCTCTGGTAGTGAATGATCCATTTCCACAACTGTTCTATCGATCGCACCGGTGGGCAGTGATGACGAGCTCTGAGTCTTGCTTCCCGCGATGTTGTCGTTGCAAGTCACGACACCAGGAAACCAAGTGGCTTTCTCCAGGCAGATGAACTTGGATTGATCTGGGCCCCGGGACAAGTGACAGGTTCGATCCAAGAGGAATGGACGACCTTAAGTACCTAGGTAAGCATCCGTATGGGTGGTAGGGTCTCAGTCAGCTCAGGGGCAGTGCCGCCACGACGGAGTTCCTCGGGTCCTTAAAATGACCATCCTGCACAAGCGCCGGGAAGGATTCTTAGCCTATTGGCCTGACCAAACCGTGCGGTTCGTATTCCATCAGGCATCGTTATTCAATGTCGAGGGCGAGACACCCAAGCTACCTAGAAACGATCTACATGCCAGTTATTTATGTCCAAAATCACGTTGGCAATGAATTTGAAGGTGAAAACTCCTTTAACTGAGATTCAGAATGCGGGCAGCCATCGCCACCGCTCCGAAGTCCTCCTCGTGCGCCATTCAGCACCGCTCGTGTTGCCTCACTGCGGAAGTCCGCCTCATCATTCCAATGCCGCTCGCATTGACTCACTAAATATAATTGTTTTATTCCTCTCACAGACGAAACCGCCTATTGACCGTACTCACTCCTCGGCCTTATCTGATCTCACAAAACATCCAGACCTCGCGTAGGAACAAGGGGAAGACTTGATCGGCACCTCATCCAGCAAGTCTAACGTCGTCCGCGATGCAGCGAAATAACGGTCCGCCCCGAGCCAGTAGTGCCGGTGACGGGGTAAGATGCGTCAGCATCCAGACCAGAACTTGAGCTGAAGTTAGCTTGTTGGGGTATTCATTTAAGCTTAACCCAGACGCGTTGTCCGTCTAGAGTGGAGAGCATTCTTGTAACACAGCAAGAAAACTTTGATGTCTCTGTGTTAGAGCCTGACTTGAAGCACCGGCATAATCAGTCACATATATGGATTTCTGACAACCTTGTCTTAACAGCAGTTCCATCTGTTGCCTAGTCTCAACTGCCCTTCCCTAGGATGACCATAATTGAGGGTCCACGTTGTTTCTCTCAAGTAGAAAATTATTCGATGACAATAAAGACGGGCCCGGCTAGGTGCCTGCACATGCACCTGTACCTGTACCTGGAGCGCGCATGCATAGCTTCCCCGGACGGCCATCCAGATGAGCCATATGCCACAGGCGGCCGGAGCGGTCTCTTCCTTGTTGTCTACTAGCTGACCATCAGCATATCCTCCTGGATAAGAAGGATACGTCAAACACACCCTCAAGACGGCTTCCACTTCTCAAAAGACTTGAAAACCGTCAGCCCCCAAACGCCCGCCGTTCTCCATCCATCCCTCTCCACGGGTACACTCGGTCCGACGTAGACCTGCCGTGGATGAACCTGCGCCATCTTTGCCAGATCCGACAGCTTCAACGAGTTCCGTGACAACAGAGCCCAGACGTCGTCGAACAAGACTGACCCAAGCACTCTCACGGTGCCGTCAAAGTTCTCATCCGGCCTCGTCGAGATTCCCGTCCTCTCTCGATGCCCCCTCCCCCCCAATGGCAGAGCCCTATTCTCCCTGTCCGGCTGCTCGCCGTCTATCTTGGCCACCACCACGAAAGGTCCCAGATCACCACGGGGGATGACCGGCTCCGCGTCATCTTTCGCCGGGTCTAGGTACGAATCGATCGACGCCTTGTCAGCGACCAAGAATGTGCCTCCGCTGAGAGTCATGAAGCCCTCGCACGCCGGAGTCTGGCTATACTCTCGATAATGCCTAGCACCGGATCAGTCAACCAATCTCAACACTCCCAACCGATGAGGAAACCCAGAAACACACCTCTTTGCCGCCTCAACGTCGCCCTCGGGGATCCCGTGCTCCCGTCCATCGATCCACCGCACCTTGCACGTCGGCTTCACATCAGCAGCCCCATCCACACCCTCCCCCCACGCCGTCACATCGTCCTTGAACTTTCCCAGAAACGCCCTCCACTCCTCGTCCGAATGCTCATACGAGACGCGATACCCAATGAACCCCCAGACCCTCAACGGGCGATGGACCGCCACCCGCATCATACTCTTGAGGCCAACGATCCACGGCGCCTCGCCCAGCGCCGGCGGCGCGTCCCCGGCCCCTCGCAACTCCCGCCTCGCCTGCTCATACTCCCTCATCTGCGACCGACACGTCTGCTCCAAGCTCCTCGGATCCGACGGCGCCAGACTCCTCCCCTGCCGCACATTCTCAAACGCAATCTGCATCTGCGCCGCCCGGCTGAGATACCGGCACCGTATCCCGTAAATCCGCGACCGGAGACGCATGTCGTACGGGTACCGCGTCATCGGCTCCCGCCCGTCATACCCGTTCCAGTCGTCCCGAAGCCTCGGCGCCGCAGACGTCAGGGTGCGGAGGGTATAACCCCACAACGGCACCATGATCTTCGTGTCCGCCTTATTCGTAATCTCCGTGAGGTCGTGGAACCGGTCCAGGATCTCCATCTGCGCCGCGGACGCCGGACCCTGCGCCACGGCCGTCGTAGCCCGCAGCCGCAGGATGAGCGCCTCCTTGAGCTCCCCGATCCGCGCCATCACCCAAGCGTGCGCCCTCGCCGACACGGTCTCGACGAAATCCACAAGGTACTCCTCCCACAATGCCGTCACCGAGACCGGATCCCCGCCGCCATCGCCGCCGACGCCCCGCCCCTTTGCCCTCCGATACGCGTTCAGCGCCCTCTCAAAGTCGTGACAGGCGTCCCAGACGCCGTTGCACCCCTTTCGCATCCGCGCCTCGTTGTGCGGCAGGTTGAGGTACTCAAACGCGTCGACGACGGCGCAGAGGTGCTGACACGCGCGCTTCATATTGTCGACCTCGTGCAGGCCCCGCTGGCGCCACCGCGCGAGCGACATGGGCGGCGCGCCGGCGAGGAGGCGGGATTTCATGTGATGCAGGTCGCGGTCGCACGCGGTGCTCGTCGAGGTGACGATGGAGAGGAGGTCGCCGAGGCCGGCGACGGCGGCCATGGCCCTGTTCATGAAGGAGTCTACGCGGATCGTGCAGGTGTTGAAGGGTGGGGGGGCCCAGTCGTTGTAGGGGCGTACGCAGAGCGTCTTTTCGTCCTCGTCGTCGTCTGGTGAAGAAGATGATGATGATGATGAGGAGGAGGAGGAGCGGTGATACAATTGCTGTGCTGCGGGTTTGCCGCTAAAGAGGTGGCCGGTTCCCATGAGGAGGAAGGAGAATTGGCTCACGAGGTCTAGGGGGAGGGCGTTGACGTCGGCTGAGGGGTAGAGAGGTGAGAAGGACCATTGTGATGTTGGGTTTTGGGGAGGTACTTTGGGAGAAGAGAAATGCGCGCTTACGGATCATGACGAGATGGGGATGCGTGTAAGGAGGGTTGACAACGTCAATCCCTCGCGGAATGTTCATCGTTTCTGCGGATCGCCAAGACATGGTGATTATTTTTTCCCTTTCAAAGATACCAAGTGAGTTGACGTTGGAAAAGCAAAGACAACGCCACAGAGACTTGCTTTATATCCGTCAGCTTCATCCAACAACAACACCAAGTGTTGGACGTTTGGATGAGAATCCTACGGGGCCGGCCCCTCCCCGTTTCTGCCTGTTGGGGCCCTGTCGCCACCGCCCAATGAGGGGTGTGAATAGAGACAGGGGAGTCGAGATGACGAGAGGGAGAGACCATTAGTGGTCCCAATAGCCTGGAATGAAGGCTTGAGCGCTCCGAAACGGGTACCGCTGCCTGGACGAACGGCCTGGGCGAAGGATCTAGATTTCGGGAATAATCCGATGTTGTGTTTGTCTCTCTCTCTGCAAGCGGCGGGTGTTGTAATAAAGTGTGGGTTTGGAGGCGAGAGGGAGACATGAGAGGGTATCTTGGATGAAGTAAAGAATAGGAATGTATGTGTGAGTATGACCGCCCCTGATCAGAGAGTGTACTGAGCCCCACGGAAATGCATCTTTCTGTTCCATGGTAGACGGGGCAATCGCCGTCATCCAGGCTTTGTTTGTCAGATGCGTATTTGAAAACGGCGTCAAATCCGGTTATGGGGTTGGTTCCCAACTCAAGTACGTACATACGGATTGGCATAGGGAAATTTAAAAGACACCAGATGTCGACACAAGGTAATGGTTGAGAAATGTGTCTTACTACCTCACAAGAGGAGACCCCAGCCCCCTCGGAGGAGACGAGGCCATGATCTTTGTCTACCAGCCATGCCATCTATCAACAGATGGTTGTGTGGGTGATTCCAACTGGCATGAAAGTCGACGAATCGCATCATCATACGATGTGCTCTTCAAGCAGATGTCATACTGGCTTGCTGATACGCAAGAGAACGTGGCATCTGAGTTTCGTCCAAGTTTTCGTGTGACCCCACCTAGTGTTGAATATATTTCGATTATGTTCATTTGCAGTATTTGCAAAATAACGCTCTCCAGAGTATTACTCCCTCATGGCCCTTCAAGAAGCCAACTGAAGCAGGTCGAGAGCCCCTTGGCCCATCCATACGTGAACTCCGGCGCTACACTAAAACATGAATAAAACACAATAGGTATGGTACTGACAAGATGTCGACAGACAAAAATCGCTGAACGATGCCGCCAAAAATGAGAGCTGCCCACCCCCCCCCCCCCCCCCCCCCCCCCCCCCCCCCTCCCCCCCCCCCCCCCCCCCCCCCCCCCCCCCCTCGCCCCCCCCCCCCCGCCCCCCCCCCCCCCCCCCCCACCCCCCCTCCCCCCCCCCCCCCCCCCCCCCTCTCTCTCTGCGCCATTTTCACCTCAGAGGCCACCCTTCCTTCTCCCGGTACAGAGGCGGCCCCGGCATATCACCCTCCATCTCGAAAACCTCATTGGTATCAGGCAACTCCTGCGGCCGCTCCATCGTCTCCATCTCCATCACCGTCGTCGAGTCGAGCTGTGTCGTCGTGGTGGGCGAGTTGAGCGGCTCGTCACCCACAATCGTCGTCCCCGTCCCCGGTCTCGCCGTACTGGGCGAGGTGATGTCCAGGGAAGACTTGCCCACCGGCGCCTTGTGCGCCATCGTCGGCGCCACAGAATCTGATTTCGAATCGCTGTCCCCGCCGCCGCCGCCGCCGCCGCTGTTCTCGCCCGACGCCAGCTTTTGTAAGTGTCGCCTCTTTCGTCTTCGCCACAAGATCATAAAGGTCAGCAGCGCCAGCACGAGCGTCCCCACGACCGATCCGACCGCGATCGCTACCGTCGTGCCGACCGAGATGCCGCCTCCTTCTCCCGATGATGACCCGCCACCCGGTATCGTCGTCGGTATCGCCGTCGCCCCCGAATTCGAATGACTCCCCGCCAGTGCGCCCGTCCCCGACCCTGTGATTCGTCCCGTCTCCGTCGGTATCGGCCCCGTGTACGTCGCGCCCGGCACCGTCGGATCCGTCTCCAGGATACTCAAATCCCTGCTCGCCCACCGCACCTGCACGGCATACACCAGCGCAAGCTGCGTCGTGATGTGATTATTGCTATTATAATACGACTTTATCGGCTCCGTGGAGATGCACTTGCTGTACCCGTAGCTCTTGGTGTCCGTGTAGCAAACGTAGCCCGTCGGGCAACACAGCCGCGGCGTCTCCCCCACGGTCACGGGCCCGCCCATGCCGATGAAGCCGCCCTGGGAGGTCGCGAGCCAGGTCGGGAACGCGCAGCCTTCGGTGTAGCCCGAGGGGCAGATGCCGGGGGAGTAGTAGCCCCAGCTGTAGTCGTTGACCTGGCGCCATGACGTCGGCATGCACACCACGCTCGAGAGGGGCGGCGTGATTGTGTTTGTCCAGTCGAGGGGGTTGCAAAAGTCGGGCGTTGTGAAGACGGTCGTCAGAGGCGCCGCGCCTCGTTGGGTTGTCATAGGATTCGGGTCGGACGTCGTCGTCATTGTGGGCTGTGTGTGGTCTTTTTATGAACTATGGGAGAGAGAGATAGAGAGAGAGAGAGAATCTTTGACCTCTCTACGCGAGAGCATGCAGTAGACCGACGACTGCTTTTCTTTCGTACTTTGTGTAAGAAAATCAGACCAAAAATCAAATCACAGGTACGGAGATCCCTTGACTGTTTTGTTTTGGTGCTTTTCGTATCCTTTCGAGTTTGCCCCCTTCTACTCCATGTTCTGCCCTACGAATCGCAGAAGGAGGGGCAGGCAGACGTGCGTTTCTTGGCCTCGTGGGATGCTCCCGCTTGCTTGACCCAAAAATTCTCCGAAAATTGAAAGTGTTCGTCGTGGGGGGTGGCAGCGAGCAACGTGGTGAACTCTGGTGGGCCGCCTGGTGGGATATCAAAATGTGTCTCGGTGAACGAAAGCAATACGAGCTGGAGGTCTTCCCAGGCGTAATACCCGTCAAAGTTCAATCAGCGTTGACGATAAGTTCAAGGCGACAGAATTGGTCGGGAAGTATAAAGTTAAGATGGTAAATTGGCAGAAGAACACGAGCACAGTCCCCCCCAAAAGAGCAAACGGCCAGACTTTTTCGGCTTGTTGAACAGAGTTCCCAGCCAGCTATCCGATGACGGGGATC